CACACTGAAAAAATATGTACTCAATCATATGTAAAGAAAAATACTCTCTTGTGATGAATATGGGAAAAAAAGAGATCTCCCTTACTCTTTCTTTGACTACTTAGGAAGCAATAATCCATCAGAGTAATACCCAGGTAACCTCTCCTACCCCCCACCTCTGATAAAAGAGAACTCAATTTTTCCTTTGTTTCCTTCAAATTTCACAATGTGTCCACTTTCTTGGCACCTTTTCCCATGACAGACTTGACTACTTAGCCCATTTGTAGTAGCTCTGGAACACGCATAACTACCCAGCTGTACAGAGACTTCCATCAGTGCCTGCCGTACCTGTTTATGTACTGTTCATGACACAAGAGCAGTTAACAGGTGCTCATAGGAAGAAAGCACACGGGCACTTTATAACGATGTGGCTGGTTTTTGATGTGAAGTGAGTTTATATTTGGCTGTTGATGTAGCTCATACAGATCTCTAAAAAGTGACCACAGAGATGTGGACATGGAAATCCAAGCCAGCATTTTCTTTGTTCAAACTGATTTATAGATTTTTAGCAATCTTCTTTGGCAATCTGTTAGATATTTAATACGGAATTTCCCTCTTTCACAACAGGGTTTTGAGGCCCGTAGGTTGGTACATTTCTCTGTTTTAGCAGTTTTCCAGTTTGATTTGCACACGTGTGTGTGTGCGCGCGTGGCGTGAGTGCATGCATGTGCACAGGCACGCCCAAAAACATATACATGCAAACTTGTATTATACTAGGTTTTCTTGATAATTTCTGTGTATCATGGGATGTATGTTGCAAATTTATTGAATGAGAATAATAGGAAAAATAATGCAGTCTTAAGATTTTTATGAAAGTGGTCACCTAATGTATGGAACGATAAAAAGTCAAAAGGGTACCTATGTGTAACAGGTTTAAAAAAATTTTATGGATCTGTACTTCATACACACACGCACGCACATGCGGTACATTCTGTGTCCCACTGTGTAGTGCTTTTTTTCCCCCAAGAAAATAAGACTTAGTCCATAGTGAATGCTTTTAGGTTTTGTTATTTTTTTAAATGTTTATTTTTGAGAGGGTGGAGTGGGGTAAGGGCAGAGAGATTAGGGAGACACAGAATTCATAGTAGTCTCCAGGCTCCTAGCTGTCAGCACAGAGCCCGACACGGGGCTGGAACCCACAAGCTGTGAGATCATGACCTGAGCTGAAGTCGGATGCTTAACCACTGACCCACTGCCCCATAGTGAATGCTTTTAAAACTGACTTTTAAACCTTTATGTGAAAATCTAATTGGTAACAGAAGTAAAATTTTAAAAAGTATAATCTTAATTCCTTTATACTATGCTTGAATTAAAGAACATTCAGTTTCACTCTTCTTAAAAGTTGCAAAATTATTTTTTTACTTAGGAAGATGAGAATGTGCCCACTGCTCCTGATCCTCCAAGTCAGCATTTACGTGGGCATGGAACAGGCTTTTGCTTTGATTCCAGGTAATTTTTCTCTTTCTTGTGTAGTCTGGGTTATATAGATTAGTATGAGTAATAATAGATTATTTCTGCAAGTATAGAAAGTTGTTAGAAATGCATGTGATTGGGGCTGTACCCTGGACCTTCTCAACTGAAGACTTGGTTTGGGTCCCAGCAGTATGTGTTTTAACATGCTTTCCAGGTGATTCTGATATCAGCATGCAGTCCTTTGAAGACCAGTGCTCATGATACTCTTAGTGGTTCAACTGAATGAATTCTGCAGGGAAATTATAAGTTCTTTTCATCTTTACAGTTTTACAAAAGGCATTTTCTGTTAAAACTTAAGGAGTTTTGTCATTAAGCTTCCTTTTATATAATGTGATTGCATTTTTGGGCTTTTAATGAAAAGTTTTTGTCAGTCTAATTGTAAAACTCTCAAATTGAGAGATTTTATCAGTGGTTTACATAATTGTCAATAGCAAACATTTAGAAGCAGAAAGAGGTTTCTGGAGTAACTGAAGACTTGCAAGGGAGGTTGTTTAGCGTGAATATCAGCTTACGTAGATCAATGTAACATTTATCTATCCTGAAGATTAGTGATGTTAGAAATTTTACTTACGAGAAATGTGTAATTCTTTCATTTTTTTACTTCAAGCTTTGATGTTCACAAGAAGTGTCCCCTCTGTGAATTAATGTTCCCTCCCAACTATGATCAGAGCAAATTTGAAGAACACGTTGAAAGTCACTGGAAGGTGTGCCCAATGTGCAGCGAGCAGTTCCCTCCTGACTATGACCAGCAGGGCTTTGAAAGGCATGTGCAGACCCATTTTGATCAGAATGTTTTAAATTTTGACTAGTTACTTTTTAATATGACTTAGCAATACAGTTTAACAATTAAAAAAAAAAAAATAATCACCGCCAATAGACCACTGTGGAGACCACAAGGTATCTGTCCCTTCCCTGCACCCTTACCACACTTGTCTGAACCAGCGCTGCTTTGGAGTTCTGTGTTACTAGGGGCAGAGTCCAGCTTCAGCTTATCAATAAATGTAAGTGTAACCCCTGTTAATTTTACCAGCTTAAGGAAAGTTTTTCTGTGTTTGAATCTTTATTTATTCCCTAGTTTGCAAAACTATATGAATAAAGGAAGTGGATTGTTTTAATGTTACCACACTGAATATATATGTGTAGTGTGTGATTTAGCATATTTACAAGTTTCTGTTGACCTTGTTGATTGAGCATGACTACTGAGTATTATGTAATAATTTATCATAATTAATTTGAATACAGAAACTTCCATAATTTAACCCATGAAAGGATGTTTTTTTTGGGTTAACCCTTTAAAAATGGAGCTTGCATGTAGAATAAGATCACATGCTTGCAGTATAGCAAATACTTTTTTATATTTGAAATGTTTGCTTTAGGAATAGAAGGCCTATTTTGCTAATTTTATGACCAAAACATTTTAGAATGACCTGAATGATTATTTTTAAGCCATCTTGAAGTTGTATTTCTGTCTAATGGGAAAATGGAACAAATACACCAGTGTGGTTGTTTCATATGAAATGATCTACTAAAACAGTGGTGTTTGTGGCATAAAATCACAGAAAATGTATCCGTAACTTTTCCACATCTTCCTGATGGAGAACTTTGAGATAAGATTCTCAGTAAGTGACTAAAAATGTGATGTATAAACTCAAATCAGTGTGTTCATTATGTCTCTGTGTAGTTTCATTAACATTAAAGAGGACACATTTTTGGAGATGTGTAATTTCATTGTCAAATTTATTTGTGATAGCTTTTCATTAAGTGTAAAGATCATTAGCATCTTTTTTTTTTGGTCTGGGCAGTTATATTTCTGAACAGTGTTTCTCACATAGTAATTCTTACCATTCATATTTTGATTTTGTAGTTATCAAAATATGTAAGCTTAAGCAAATTAGCTAGGATGTTGACCTAATAATCAGTGTGGTGGCATTTCGGTGTGCTGTGTGTGAACTGTGTTCACATCTTGTTGCGTGTGTTTGTTTCCGAAAGCAGAATTTGTGGTGTTGGAATCCTTTGAAGAGAATTTGGAGTGTAGGGCAAAACAGGCTGTGGCAGACTGGAAGGCAACAGTAGTGAGGACTCCGTGTCTTCCCTCCGGGGAGAGAGCCGTGCAGGTAAATAGGTCAGTGGTGGTAGTCACCTGTCGTGCCAGTTAGCGGCGGAGCATGCCAACCTGAAACTTTCCTCCCCGTGTTGGGGGGGTGGGGGTGGTGGACGCTAATGAAAGTAAAGAGCCATGTTTGTTTTGGGTCAGAGGCAGTTTATTTTAAATGATTTCATTTACATTTATAAGCAGCTTTCCTTGACAGCAATTTTGATTAAGTTGCCTTCAGTTCTAAAACAAACCTCTGTTGCTTTCAAACTTAATGTGCTCTGTCCCCAACAAAACATATGAAAATATAATTTAAAGCACAGTTTTCACAGACACAGTACAACACACTCACTATACACGGTATAACAAAATATTCCCATCCTTACCTGTTTAGTAATACTGTCACAATGAATAAGTAAATAGAAATTGAATTTGTTTTATAGTTGAAAGAAATTTAACATGCACAATGACTATTTTATGACTGTTTAGCTGTTGAACTACTGATCCAGCCTACATTTCTTGCACTAGAAGGAGCGAAGCTAAATAATAATTGCTGGCCTAAAAAAATTTTGGTCAATTATAGGTAGATATGAAATATCCGAGTAGGGCCTTCTTATGCACCAACCTAGTTGCTTCTCATTGTCTGGATCACCCTTTTTAAACCTAGAACACTGTTTATTCAGGACCAAGACCACTCTTCAGAGATCTGAGGAAATTTTTAGAGGGCAGTGTCTTTATAAATACTTTAAATCCCTCATTATGAGGGCTTCATCACTAAGAATATAGAAGCTGACCCCTCTGGCCAGCAGCACGGTCGTCCTTTCACACTGTCTGAAAAATCGAGGAGGGACACCTGCTTCCCAGCTGTCACTTTCATCAAATGGGAACATGGGAAGAAAGTTATTTCGTAAGCAATTCGAGTTTGCTTTTCACCAGTTTTGTGGGCAGTTAGCCATCTCAAAGCAGTTTTTATTGCATAATGAGGCAATTGGTAAACTCTTACATGTTTAAGGAATAGCACTTGGGAGAAAAGAACACTCAAGGCATGATGGTATTGGCGGTGAGGAAAACTTCAGGAATGGTCCAGACATAGGTCACTCTAACAGGTCATATTAGTCACTCTCTGACCACCTGCCGCAAGAAGCACTTAATTGTCAATAAGGCTCAATTTCATATTTCGGCAAAATGTTTTATAAAGCTAAACAGACATCGCCAATGGGAATACAGACCTCTACAATGCGATGGGAAAAGTGCCTTTAAAAAAAGTCCAAAAACACAATGAGCATGAGGAAGAGGCAGTTTGGCGGGGGGGGGGGGGGGGGGGGGGGGGGGGGGGGGGGGGGGGGGGGGGGGGGGGGGGGGGGGGGGGGGGGGGGGGGGGGGGGGGGGGGTTGTCTTAACGAAAACATTCTCTTTGAAACGAGCTTGGAATTTTCTTATTTGCAACCCATAGTTTTGTTAGGGCAGTCATTGCAAGACTTGGCAACACATAAAACATTGAATCTGTTGGCAATAGAGAACTACAAAGTGCTTTAAAACTTCACCTAACGATGAAGATAGAACTAAATTTCACACACACAAAATTTGCACTTAAGTATTTCAAAGTGTTTTCTAACAGATTTCAGGGAAAAGTATTTCACTAAACTGGTTTCTTGGTCCACAAATATCAACAGGCATAAACTGAATCCCTTGCACCCAGCAGGCACTCCATGGATGTGTGTGAAATGAATGCGTGAACTGAATAGACTATTTTGTACAAAAATGCCATTTAGAACACAAATGATTGGTAAGTCAGATGGCAAGATTTTCAGCTTTTTAAGGGGCAAAAGGATTTGCAAGATAATATAAAACACAGAAAGCACACCTTTTATGTATGTTATTTAAATATGAAAATACTTTTAGCATATTATGTTAAACATTCTTATTTATATTTCCATTACCTAAAGTCTTTCTACTCACAAATACTAACTCCATTATGTAAGGCATGATAACCAGCTTGATAATGAAGGTATTATTTTGGTTTTGAACATAGTGAGTTGATGTGTTGAAAAACTTCAATCACATTACAATCTTGGGGGAAAAAACCACCTCAGTGCCAACCCCTCCTCCCCCCAGTTGATATCACTGCAATACAACTAAATAATATGCAACATGCCCTCCATTTTATTTTCTTTTGGGGGAAATGTGCTGAAGAACCTAGAGCTTTTTTTGTTTAGCACCTTATATCAAAGTAATGAAAATGGGTATGATGATTACATGTGCAAATGTACAAAATCATTAACTCTACAAAGATAACATCATTCCAAAATTACAGAAAAATTTTAAAGCATGCACTTAATTCTTTAAAGGGTTGCTGAATGCTTCCCCTGAAAAAAGGTGGCTGTTTTCAAAATCAGCAACTGCTGGTGAGGATTTCTTGGCACAGTAACGACCAGCATGTTATTGCTGCATCTTCCTGATAATCTCAGCCGACACCGGGGGGTGGAAATTGATTGTGTGGTGCCGCAGGCCCTGAGCTGTCTTGTAACTCTTACCACAACGACATTTGAATGGTTTGCGGACACGAATCTGTGTTCTGTGACCATTCTTGGCGTGGTACTTTATGCCATTCACATTCTGTGGAGAAGACAAAGCATCACCAATTAGACACAATCAAAATGTCAGACTGGGGAACACCTTGCTTTGGGTCTGGATTACAGTGGACATCTCCTGGGTGGAGGGGTGTCCAGGGTGGGCTTTGTCTGAGCTCTAGTGCAGACAGTCTGCTGTGATCGTGGGCTGTGCAGACCATGCCTCAATTACTGACAAACTGTACACACAGTATGTATATAAGGAAGCACAGTTCTTCTGCCTAGAACTTTGCTTCCTTTCTAGATCATTTTTTCCACCTGGAAGAGTTAATTAACAGTTATATAAACACATCCTCAGGGTGGCCAGAAAACTGTCTGTCAAAAGAAGACAGGGCAATAGAACTCAAAATGTACATAAATCCTTGATATGGGAGCTCACCTGGTGTTTTGTTTCCAAAGATAAGCAGTGAGAATAACATATCTTGGTTGTAGTTTTGGCCCATGTTCTGCTTTGCACTAAGTCAGGGTCTCTGCCACCGTGGGCGCTACTTGCCCAAATCATGCCCTAGCATAGTAGGGTGTGTTAAACAAGCACCCGTGGGTACATCCCAAACATCGGTTATGGAAGTCTCAGCAATGTGTAAGAGTTCCAGAGTTCAAACCGATGTGCAAATCCCACGAGACACATCAAGTATCAAAATGCTTCCTGCATTTCTTCTAAGACTCCATGCTTAGAATCACTCTGCAGACTTAATTTACTATTGCTCATCCCGATTAAATGGCGAGAAAATAGGCATTGAGTGATGAAAGACTGAAGTAAAAATGACACTAGAGCACAGGTTCTCAATTCCCAGGCCCACTATTGCCAGATTTGGGAGTAAGGGAGGAGAAAAGAATGGCTTGAGACAAAGACATTGAGAACATCACCGGAAGTGATGTCCTAAGCTCAAGTAAAGAATTCCAACATAGCGGTCTTGAACTTTAGCCCTGAGATGCCCTTACTGACCTCCCAGGTACAGGGACGGACAGTTGTTCTGTGAGCATCTAGCACACTGCCTGGCCCTCAGATACTCCATAAGTAACTGTGTGGATTTGCCAGAACATGGTTCGCTATTAATGGAACAAGTTGAAAGTTGCCCTTAAAATATGTTCAGTGGTTATTACGGTTTACATTTCCCGTCTAGAGATCCATAATGCACATTAATACTTTTAAAGTCCTGTGTTCGTTCGAGAACCCTGCTTGACTTAGTTGAACCCAGGGGTGCCAGCTAGCAAAGAGTTGGCAGTGTTGAGAGCCTGACCGTCGTTCATGGAGTCGATGCACAAGGGCAAACAACGTTTGCCCAGAACACCTGGCTCTGGGGCTTCTGCACCTGCGTGTCTGTCCGTCCCACATCAATCCCCCCATGCAGGGCAAGGGAACCTTCCCTCCCTGTTGTTCTACAGGGATGCTGGGGAGAACCTGCACTGCAGTGGGGATGGTGGGGGGAGCAGACAGTGGCAGATTCAGACGCGTTAAGATGATGCCCGCCTCCTGCTGCCCCAGCCATCCCAGCACAAGCGGAGGGGTGGGAGGAAAGCCGGCTGCGTATCCCGGCCTGGGCTGGCATCGTACCCAACCACACGCACCCCCAGGTGAGAACCACCTAGCTGCTACCAGGCAATCCGCAGAAGCACCAAAGATGATAACGGTGTTAAGGTACTTGAACTAATTCAAGTTTTTACAAACATTAGATAAACAAGCAACTAAGTAACAACATAGGAAGTCTCTTGGCTCACAAATACTAGAAATTTGCATCTGCCCCCCACTAACATCCCATTTATTAAAAGCTCAACCGATATATTCACTGAGCACTTTAAGAGTAGGGTCCTTTTCCGTAGATGGAAAGCTTGACTCAATCATTTCGTGTCCTTTTTCCACAGGGAACTTATAAGATGGATTGTTAAAAATCCAGTTTCCCCTGTGTCCGGGTACCACTGCCGCTGTCCAAAAATCGAGGAGACCAAAACTAACTACCTTTGACTAGCACGCGAAGCAGCGCGGCAGCTCCCAGCAGGAACGTGACTTAGATTCCTCCATCCAGGCCTGAGTTTTTATAACCAATTAGGGGAGAAGTTTGAAACCAGAAATTGCTAAAGCCACAGAAGCCCGTCCAACGCGACAGATGCAGAGGTCACCAGGCGAAGGACAAAGCCAGGGCTGGGGCGATTTCAGCAGGTCTGTGGTCTGTTCCTAGCTTGAATGTAAACACTGGGTTCTGAGCCTGGCCGCAAGGCTGTGAGGAGAACACTGCTAAACTCCATATGTTTGCTTTATTACTTTGGAAAAATGAGTAAGCCTGTTGCACATTTGGAAACGTGGCATTTCCAGGGTCGGGCAAAGAACCGAAAGAAACCTACCTTACCCATCTCTTGCTTTGCTGCTGTGATTTCAAATGTTCACAAGTGTCCGTGGGATGCCCCTATCACAGATGTTGGTACAGGCTCTCATGAGAGTCAAGATTGACCCCATCTGTTCACTCACAGAGAGCAATGGGAACTTCTACTTTCTAACACTTGATATTAAAAAGATTCACTGACATTTCTAATTGCAGAGATCCTAAATTAAGAAGTTTGGTCTTTCAGAAATAGTAATAACAGAAATAAATAATGGCAGCCAACTTGAAATGCTTAAATCCTCTGGTCTCCAGAAAGAGGAAAGGGAGTTGGATCTTTGAAGGGGCAAGGTGGGGGGCAGGGAGGGTCAGTAACATGAAGAGCTTCTCATGCTGAGTATTTGATGGCTCCTGTGTACCACTAATGTTTAAGATGAAATGGACACTGAGAAGGTAAGTGAAGCAGGTAAATGATAGGCTTGGAACGGGAACCCGGAGGGATGCCAGATTCCAGAGTCCACATGTCTCCCAGAATTCCACGTACCTAAGGTACTAGGTACTTATTATTTAGTACAAACAGCTGGTGGTCTTTGAAAAATCTTACAAGTCAGGAAGGACTGGACACTACTTTTGGAGAAAACGGTCAGTAAATTACAGCAGTCTGACAGCGCTGGCATGTGTAGAAAAAGGGCAGGGAGGAGGTTCCAGGGAGGGCCTGGGGAGGGGGCAGGCAAGGGTGGCATCAGTTCATTTCCATGCCAGGTTCTACCATCAGGAACTACCTGCCCTGATGAGGGGGAGGAGAACCAGTTGATGGACAATAAACAATTCAGAGACTCTTCTCAAAATTCCACTCCAGATCAAATCATGAAACCTAAAGTCTGGAGGCCAAGACGGGCCACTGTGTCCTCGACAGTATTTGATCTTTATAGTCCGTATTCAGACCCGAGTAAGTACAATATGTGACATGTGCCCTTGATATAAAAACCGTAACTTTCAGTTTCCTTCAGGCCTTGATGCTCTACATAAAGGAGAGAAGAAATCACAAGGGGATTTGATAAGGAAGAAAAATTTAACGAGCTGGGGTCGGAGGGGGTGGCGGCATTGGAGTGGAAAGTAAAGCCAACCAGCCTGAGACCTTGAAATCAAGTCACTCCCCCACTGCACTCAGCATTGCCGCACATATGACGTCCAGGAGGAGGCTGGTGGGAATCACATCTTTAAGTCCCTTTATTAAAGCAATCTGTGTCCAGTGTAGGTAATTGTACAAATTTAGAAAATGCAAAGGAACGTAAAAAAGAACAGGTTGATCACTACTAAACACCTGAGCTTCCTGCTTCTAATATTTTCCCCATGAGGTAATTGTCATATGAGATCGGAATCTCCCATCATTCTATACATATATTTTTTAAAAGGATTTTGATGGCAGTATTTTATTCTGTTGCCCTAGTGTTAGAAATTTAGTATTTCCCAAATTTGTGATGAACATCCTTGTACATCAATGTCTGCATCCCTGACAGTGTGCTTCGGATTCATTTTTAGGTGAATATGGAGCTAAAGAATATGGACTTTTTAAAAAATTTCTGATTATTTACTGCCAAGCTGCCAGCCAGAAAGGTTGCCAGTGATGCCCCCACCTGGGCTTCTGATGGCACTGTTAAGAGAAGCAAGGAGATTTAGATCCGATCATGGCTGACATGGCCTTCCTGGAAAACCTGAGTGACACTGTGCCTGGCTGTGTTTCTAGACATCAGAGGCCTTCCTCACGCTTTCTTCACGAGGCCAAAAGCAGCAGTGTTCCCCATGTAGCAGAGGGACCCTTCCACAGAAACTCTGCAGGGGACAGCGTGTTCTGTTTTATATTTCTTACAAATACCCTTAATTCTAACAACTCTAATATTTACAATTATCAAAGGAAAAAAACCTCAGCACCACAACCCATCTTTTAAAGCCATTCCCAGTTAACAAGCTGGGGGAGTCCCCTCTCTTTTGCCTGAGGTCAGAAGAAAAGTGTGAGTTGCACCAAGGTGGACAGGATCAGTTATTCCGGGCCTGAAATGTGTCTGGGACAAATCCGAAATCCCGTTACTGCTCTGGGGTCCTGGTGGTTGGCGGGGGGGGGGGGGGGGGGGGGGGGGGGGGGGGGGGGGGGGGGGGGGGGGGGGGGGGGGTCGGGGTTGGACGCCCACGTCTTCTTCCCGCATACATTTTGGCTCTATTCCTTTATCCTCAAGAGTATCTACTTGTCCAAGCCCTGTGACTGGTGCTGAAGGGTCAATGAGCTGTATCGGACCCTTGGGGTGAGAAGCTAGCAAGTGCTCTCTTCAGTGGTATGAACAGAGCAAGTGGAAAGGTCAGGGGATCGAACTTAAGTCGGGGATTCAGCCCGGGGAAACTGCGACGGCCTCCCCAGAGGAGGTGGCATTTGAGCCGTGACTTAAGAAGTGAGGGGAATTCAAATGAGAAGTTCTGATGGAGAGAGGAGGGGAAGGGGGCACCTAGACAAAGGGATTCGCCTGGGAAACAACATGGAGACTCGGCTGTAGTGCTGGGCCCCTCTCCCTTGCCCTACTCAGTAGGAAGTCTAGAATATTAAAAGCCTCATCTTCCTGTTCTGCAAATGCTGGGAAATGGCGAAAAGCACTGATCTGGGGTCAGCGCCCAAGAGGCCAACTGGTTAGAGGCTCCCCGCCAACAGCGGACACGTCTGAAGAGAGTCCTGGGTATAAACAAGATGGCAACACTTCTGGATTGTGCCTGACCCCGCAGCACACCCGCTCATTAAACCTTCTCCAAAGCAATACCCAATCCAACAATCATGCAGTAAAGAAGATGCAGGACTACACCAGAGCACACCACCGCCCTGCGGCCAGCAGCTTCCCAGCAGAAAGAGTCAAACCACAGCTCGAAAGGAATAGGAACCACACGCTTCCTCTCAAGCACTCGGTTAGAAGCGGTTACGTGTTTGTTCTTGTCCCACGTGTCATTACTTGGCGTTCTGGCCCAGAAAAGGAAACTCACACTTCCCTCATGGAAATCAGGCCCGCTAATTGCCACCCGGGCCAGCTGTCCGTTGGTGGTACCGAAGCAGGCAGCCTCCGGCAGCCCAAGCTCCACTCAGTTTTCCTTTGGCCTTAAGTGCGGAAAGAACACTCAAGTCCCCAGCAACCCAGACGTAGACAACTACAGGAGAAATTGCTGGAAACCAAGAAAAAAAATACCAGCAAAAGAAAAATGGGAGGAAAACAAGTGAGGTGGGTGGGAGGGAGGCTGTGAAGAAGGAATGAAGGGGGCGGGGAAGGAAATGCCTCATCCCTCTTCAGCCAGAATACAGGGTGTGGCTCCTCCCCACCCCTACCCTCACCGCACCCCTCACTTTTTTGGGGTCATTATTCGCTCCCTCTTTTAACAGAGTCAATGAGCACGGCATCCCTCAAACAGTGTCTGGGCACTTTCGAGAAGGCAGCAGACAGCCAAGCACGGAAGACCAGCTACGTGAAGGAGCCTGGGGAGAGGGGCATCTGAGAGCAGGCGGGAATCCAGGAGACTTCTTGGTCTAGCTTTCTCCATTTTGAAATAAATAGAGAAGGAAGACTCGCCGCAATGCAAGAGCTACCCTCCGGGAAAATGAGCTTGCGCGACAATCCCTTGGCTTTCTGGCCTCCCGAGGTAACAACCTCCTCGCCTTTCCTACTCTGCCTTCCAGGCCTCTGACACGGAAAAGGGATGTACGCAGCTCCCGAGTCACGGTCTGACCCCCACGGCTCCCCTGCCCTGGTGGGATTCTCACACCTCCACCCTGGCATTTCCATTTTACACAAAGCATATCTGGACTTCCCATGCGAAGTGGTAACGGTATAAAATAGGTGAGACCTTGGCCACTTAATCTTCTGATTCATTTGTGTCGCATGCTCTTCTGTCAGTGGCTGGCACAGAAAATATCGAAGTCGTTTTCTTTTTTAGCGTTTGGGGACAGATTTCAGAGCAATAGGAGAAGTGCTTATGCTACTGCACACCTTTTAAGCCTTTATATATATATAAAAAAAAATCTGCTGAGCTGTGGGTAAATTAGCATATCATCGAATGTACCAAGTAGGTTTCTGACTTTTATATTTCTATCTCACAGTCAGATTTTTAAAGTTGCTAATACTTGACAGAAGTGTTGCAAATTTGTTTTCTAATGTTTCTTTATTTTGGGGGGAAGGGAAGGGGCAAGAGAGGGCGAAAGAGAATCCCAAGCAGGCTCTTCACTGTCAGCACGGACCTGATGGCGGGGCTCCAATTCACGAACTGTTAGATCGTGATCTGAGCTGAGGTCGGATCCTTAACTGACTAAGCCACCCAGGTGCCCCGAATTTGTTTCTTAAGGCACCCCCTGGACCGATCCTTGAATGTTATGGGTGTTCCTCGTTGCTTTGTCCCTCTGAGTTTTCTTAACAGAAGATGTAGTGTCCCTGGCTGCTCACGATATCCAGTCAGGCTCTGGGAGACACGGGCTCCGTGTCATCCATATGGAGGTGGCAGTGAAGTGGGCCTTTGGTGAGAAATATATCAAAGCCCCCTCTTCTGGTCTTTCATGCCAGTGGTGGGGCGGGGGGAGAAGGGAGCAAGAGCTTCCTCACTAAAAGCTAAATACCCTAGCGCATCCACTACTTTTAAGACGTCAAGGTGACCTTCTGGAAGCCACCTGCATAGCCCACCAGTGAGGCAGGTGTTGGGCAAATAAACACGTGACACACTTGATATTCTGACTGATAGGACATGAATTTGAAGACAACCCAGAAACACGATCCTCCTAACCCCAAACACCCCCTCTTTTGACCGGTAGCTCCCACACAGACGAGCAAAGCAGGAACCCCTCCCTCCACACCGAACTCCCAGACACCAGGGGCCTGCGTGCGCCCAGGCACGTGTCTCAGGGAGGACCGGGCACTCAATCGGCACAGGAGAGGGGGGCATCTCTGCCCGGGCGGGGGGCTCGCTTCACAGAGGAGGAGCCGCTACCTGACGTGGGGCTGTTTCCCGTGCGGTCACACCAGTGAGGTGGAGGTACCGCGTTTACCTTGTATCTCTTTTTACATCCAGGAACCGGGCAGGCAAAAGGCTTCTCCTCCCCTCCGTTCATGCACATGGAGCTGAGGATGGCTTCGGAGCTTATGGCGCTCTCCGTGGTCCAGGACTCATCGCTGTCCGACTCCTCGTAATCCACCTCCTCCTCGTCGTACTCGCTGCCTGCGGGTCAGAGAAGAGCGAGAGCCGTCAGCAGCTGCCCTGCGGTTCCCTCCAGTTTGCTCCTGGCCCCTCCCCCCCAGGACAGGCAGGAACGGGTGACCAGATGGGGCCACTCCTCCTCCTCTGGGGGAGCATTCCAGGCACCAAGGGACAGCCCTGGGGGCAGGGCGACCTGCCTTTCCACCTAACACACCAGACTGAGTTTCCCAGTGACTCATGGCTGCCAATCAGCGGAGCAAGAACTTGAACCTGATTCTCTGGCAGGCCAGTCTGGGACTCCGAAGAAGCCAGGAAGGCTCTGAGCCCCACATCGAAAACCACCGACGATGGCAGACACCCCTGCCCGACCACGTACACACCACCAGCTATGCCTGACATTCCCCTGGACAGGTTTCCGTCCCCATAGTTTCATGCGTATCAGCCTCATAAATGCAAAAACCTGTGGGAGGGGGTTACACTTTACAGTGAATAGGTCTATACTTCAGTGGGAATTAATTTCAGATCTTTTTCTTTACAGCCTGAGCTGAGAGGGCTATGAAGACATTTGGAACTAAAAAGGGGTTACCGGAAGCTAGGGAGCAGGGGGGCAGAAACACCGGAAGCTCTGAGCCAGTCATGTCAGAATACGGGCTGCATCTCATGGAAGACCAAACACCTCCGCCCTGTCCCCAGGGTCCTGTCTACACCTGTCTTTTCCCGGCATTCCCCGGGAGGGCGGGCTCACCCATCCCGGTCAGAAGGCTCGGCTCAGACTGGAGGAGGACAGTCCCTTGTATTCCGGACGTTAAGAGTTCTGCTCGGAACTGAATTAAAAGCGTGTTTCACGGACTTCTGTTCAGGACGGTGGGGATGGAGAACCGCTTCAACAAGCACTAGCTTTTTGCTCTTTTTTAATGAGGCCCAAAGCCATTTATTGTGAGCTTTTGCACAATACAAGGCTGAAGGACATAATTCTAAAGATCATAAACAGTGTAAAATAATATGTTGACAAGTCTTAATGCATTTACAAGCCCCGTGGAATAAATAGGAATTATAGCACAACATTAATAAGAATTATATGGTAGCAATTACAGTTGTGAAATTCGTCCCCCAGGTGTGAGGCTAAATTGCACCAGGGGCCTGCTTGGGTGCTCCATGGTCCGTCTCTGCGACATCAATTATTTCAACACCAAATATTGGCATTTTTATTGGGTTTCATTTTAATAGGCATTAATAAGATTGTCTGAAGAGCCAACTGAGCCCAGAACAGGGACGCCGGCCTCTGAAACTAACACTTAAAAGGACCCAAGAAGGAAGGAAGGGACTTCAAGTATGATTGGGTGCCTCTTGTGCTTCAGGCCCGGTCGATGCATTATCTCATTTAATCCTCCGGCGGCCCCGTGCGGGGGAGAGGACTGTTGCTTTCGAGAAAATGAGGAGGCTGAATCCAGTGAGGTTCACGAGCTTACACATTTTCAATGAGCTATTAAGGGACACTGCTTTTTCCTCATCGCGCTTCCCGGCCGCCAATGCCAGCCGCAATCTAAGGGTTCCCTTTCAACCTCCTTCCAGTGGCTGGGTCTTTATCATCTAACGCTCAGCTGGAGTCCAGAGCAGTCTGTTTTGAAGCCTATTTAGAAACTCAACTAGCGCAGAAAAAACAATCTGGCAAACGGTTTGGGATTCCATGTGGGTTTCAGGAACTCCGCTGTACTTGGGTGTAGCCCCCAGGAATGAGAGACCCATTTGGAAATGCTTGTACGAGACAACACAGGGCTATAATCTCTGCCTTGGTTCTGAGTCTTGAGCAAAGTCTGAAATCTGTTTTTAAGTAGGGCATTGTTTAGGACACTTTACTCTTAAACAAATGCCACATGGTGGTGTCCTTTAAATTGCTTGTTAGAAAACTATAAATGCTATGTCACAAAGCTCCTCTAGCCGGTCTTCGGAAAGTTAGAATGACTAATTTACCCATCTAATTGGGCTAATTTGTTAACGTGAATACCAAGAACCATGCAACATTTACAACTGTGGGGTGGGGAACCTCAGACCAATGGAAGGCTTAATGAAGCCCAGCAGAGGAGAAAACTTCAAGACTCCACCAGATCAAAGGGAGCCAGCCCCTGAGGGGTTGGTGCTGGGAACACAGTTGCCTGGAAACCATTCTGCATCCAGCCCCCAGCGGGGTAGGAAGGTAGGGCGACCACACAACTCATCCCCCTAGCTGGGGCTCCTGGGACAGTGAACGCCAGCCCCAGTTGGCAGGCATGAATGGGCACTGTCCCTGGCTAACCACTCCCCTGCTCAAGGCACCAGGGAACCACACAGACCTCTGGGTGCTTTGTGAAATCTCCCTTGGCATGGGGTCAAGAAGCATCTGCTTATACTTAATTCTATCCTGAAACAGACAGCAGTACACAGTGGGTTCACGTCTTGGTGGGGCATGTCAGCTGAGTGCCAGGCTACTGGCATCCACTTTCTCTTCTGTGAAATGCACACAAATCTCTTCCTTGCAGCTTAAGGATTAGAATTAGTTAAGACCTCAAAAAATGCAAGACAACGTAACCTCATTTTTGTGATAACATTACATGAACGTGTTATATAGAATGCTTTTAGAAAGGCCTGTTTGAAAGCAAACAGAAACTAAGATAATTCTGAAAGATATGGGAATCTCCACTAGAAAAAATACAAGCCGGACTCCATAGCAAGATAGGAGCGGTGTTTGGACTTTTCAGCGTGGGCAGAACTGAGCACCTCCCCACCTCCCCACCTACAGGGAAGCCACAGGATGGGGGCTTGTGTGAGCCCTGACAAGCTGTGTGGCCCCAGGCAAGTGATGTCACCTCTCTGATCTTCTAGACTCCTCATCTGTAAAATGAGCTAATACTACTAACCAGCCGTTAAGGCTGATATGAAGAATAGCTGAGTTCCCGTTTTTCAAAACATCATAGTGATGGGGCGCCTGTGGGGCTCAGGTCATTATCTTACAGTTTGTGAGTTCAAGCCCCGCATCAGGCTCTGTGCTGACAGCTCAGAGCCTGGAGCCTATTTCTGATTCTGTGTCTCCCTCCCTCTTTCTGCCCCTCCCTCACTCGCATTCTCTCTCTCTCTCTCAGAAATAAACAAACATTAAAAACAAAATTTAAGGGGCGCCTGGGTGGCTTAGTTGGTTAAGGGTCCAACTTCGGCTCAGGTCATGATCTCACAGTTTGTGGGTTCAAGACTTGCATCCGGCTCTTGTGCTGACAGCTCAGAGCCTGGAGCCTGCTTCGGATTCTGTGCTTTCCTTGCTCTCTCTGCCCCTTCCCCATTCATGCGCGCTCTGTCTCAAAAATAAGCAAAACTTAAAAAAACATTAAAAAATTAAAACAATATACTGAGAACAACACCTGGCACATAAGCATTAAGGGAGTATCTGGCACATAAACCAGTAAAACCTCACAGAGGCAGTTTTCTCATTTTGCCCGCTGTTCCCTTGCTCTTGAGCGTACAGAAGAGTGTGTGTGGGGGGGAGGGGGGACTCTGTTGCTTATCTTCACTGTACCCCAAACACCACCCTATCATCGAACAGAGCCGTGAATGGCTGGGAGACGAGGCCTCATCCTCAGCTGCTGGCTGTCTTTCATTCTGCAGCCAGAGGGTCCCACGGCAGGTGGGGACAGGCGACCTCTTCTCCTAGGCCGCACGCACATGCGCTGGCACCCACCTGGGGCTAGCATCTAGAAGACTGGCTGCAGGGTCCGCGGTGTCCTGCAGAAGACACCTGCAAACGACCACCGCCCTTGGTCCGCTCTAGAACACCTTTGCACTCTAGGAAGAGCGAACCCGAAGCTAAAGTTACCTCCATAGTTACGAGAACATTTGGGCCAATCCTTTCTTCTCTGCTGTGTTCGTTTCCTCACGTCTTTCCAAGGAGAAAAAATAAACCCCATCCTGGTTCATTTGTCATGTGTGCTGCATCTGCTGTTTTCAAACTAACTTCATGAGTTCCTAGGAGTGTCCTTTGCTGGAGTTTCCCCGCCCGTTATGGGACGGCGGGGTGCAGCAAGGCTGCTTCTCCCAGCGCTGGCCCCCCAACAATTCGGTCCTACATCCCGATCAATAAAACATTGTGAGTATCAGCGTGTGGGAATGTATTTCTTGTAAAAGGCGTATGTGCACTAACATGTTACTGTACAAGACATATGCAAATCAAAGTCTGAGGATAAAATAACAAGTAAAATGTATTAATAGTTGTAATAAAGGGGCACTTGGGTGGCTCAGTTGGTTAAGTGTCTGACTTGGGCTCAGGTCACGATCTCGCGGTTCATGGGTTTAAGCCCCACATCTGGCTCTGTGCTGACAGCTATGAGCCTGGAACCTGCTTCGGATTGTGTGTTTCCCTCTCTCTTGGCCCCTCTGCTGCCCACATTCTCTCTCTCAATAATAAATAAAACATTAAAAATATTAGAAAAGAAAAAAGGAAAAAGAAAAGAAGTTCTGCTGGGGGGATGGGGACACCTGGGTGGCTCAGGCAGTTGAGCATCTGACTCTTGATTTCACCTCGGGTTGTGATTCCGAGGTTATGGGATCGATCCCTGTGTCAGGCTCTGCACTGAGCACAGAGCCTGCTTGGGACTCTCTCTCTCTCTCCCTTTCTCGCTGGGCCTCCCCTGCTTGCACTCTCTCAAAATAAATAGACTTAAAAAAAAAAAAAAAAAAAGACTCTGCCAGGGGACACTGGGTCATGGAATCGGAATCCTGCAACTAGAAGGCACTTACAGGCTGCTGACCCCACTCAGCTGGCCCATGGCGGTCTGTGCAGAGGGTCTCCCTTCTCAGGGCTACCTGGCCCAGGACCCTAAGCAGGGAAAGACTATGCTTATCCCTTTCATCTTCATCTTCTTTTCTTCTCCCCACTCTCTTTCCTTTCTACGAGGCAGCTCCAGATCCTAGCAAGAGCCAGATTGAAAGGGGCGAGGTGCTCAGACACAAAACAGAAAAATACCTGCTATGTACAGACAGCCCCCCTCACACTGCAT